TGTAATTAAAAAGCCGAAAATGAAGTCTATTGACTGAAATGTTGTTTTTAAAGAATTTTATTTTTTCATGAATTTATTTAGTTTGCTGAATATAAATTATTTTCTGACATAGTTGCCTTTAATATTTGATTTTTCAATTTCTGTACTCTATCTGAATATATGAGAGAGGTTTATTTGGCACTATTTCAAAAGCATAATGTGTAACAAATGAATGATGGGTTTGTGCATTATATATTGTCCCTTTGCATTGTTAATAATCAGTATATCTAAATTTAATATAATTTAAAGGTGACTGTCCATATGTTTTTTTTGTTTAAAGGTGACTGTCAATAATACATTGTTTTTGTTATGAGTAAATTATTCTATTTACATTGCTTTTGTTAGTCTGTTTACATTGCTTAACTCTGGTACATTGCTTTACTGTCTGTTTGTTAATCTCACACAAAATTGTTTGGTTTTTGTAATTATGTATATGAATGTGATTAAATGATCAATTATTCAATTCACAAAACTGTATCTTGTATTGATTGTGTTTAATTGATTTAAAAAAAATTGTTTTTTATTAAACAAATGACCAGTCCATTAGTTCATTTTATTAATATTTCATTTTGTCATTATTGCATGAAATCTATATATTTATATATTGTCAAGTTCTTGTTTGATGCAATTTTTTAAGTTATAATAGTTCCTGTTTGTAAGTATATGAAATATGGAGTTGAGGTAATCAAGTAGTGTCCACAAGTTTTTTTTTATTCTGATTTCCTGTTTGATGCATTTTCTGTTCACTGTTTTCCTGTTTGCTGCATTTTTCCTGTATTCTTGACTAATGTAGCTGGACTGGTCATTTGTTTTATATTTTTTTTCTGTTTTCATGATTAATTTATTTAATTAGATGGATGTATTTTCTTATTATTGCATGAAGCATATATATATATATATATATATATATATATATGTATTGTCAAGTTCCTGTTTGATGCATTATTTAAAGTTATTGAAGTTCATGTTTGTAAGGTTTATGAAATATGGAGTTGTTATGAGTTATTGAGATTGCTAATTTTTTATGAGTACAATATTTGAATATGTAATAATTAAATAATAGATTCAGCTATTCTATTTTAACCATGTTGAATAGAAAACACAATAAGAAAAAGTAAACTGAAACTATTATTATTGCCAAATATTGGAAACACTTGGTAGAAAACATAAATTCATAATCCAAACTATAATAATTAAAAAACCCAAGTAGCAAACATAACTGAAATTATTCAATAACTGGTTGTCTTCAGTCGGTGTTCAAAAGTCTTCAAGCTTAATTTTCTTCTTTCTTTTGGGATCTCTGTCACAGCTTGATCCTTCATCAAACAGCTTCCCTATCACTCTCTTAGATGAATCATAAGAGGTTGAAGGATCTTCAAAATTTTCATTCTTTGGAATGTTCACTTCATCTTCCAATTGGTAATCCGCTTCCTGTGGATTAGATAAATTAATTATATCCTCAAACATGAAAATTTGATATAAAGTAATGTTAAAACATAACCTATATAAATTAACATCAACCTTTGGAGGATTTGTTAAAACACCAAATCTGTGCACTAAAATGGGATCAGTTGTGATTCTGGAGACAGTGAAAGTTCCGTTGTACATCCCTAATTGACCCTTCTTCTTTCCAACCTTGAACAAAAGGTCTTTGAACATCAGATTCTCCAGTGCCGGCGGCAAATCAGACCCGTCTTCATGCTGCCGTTATAAAAATAAAGTAGTAATATATTGTTAATAATGTTGAAAATAAATACCCTATTTAACATTAATTAAAATTGAATTAATAGTATATTATTCTCCAAACCTTCAACATATCTGTAACAACTTCTTCACATGAGAGTCCAATTAATTCTCTTGCTACTTTGTCCCAGCAAAGAACTCGAATTACTCCGGTTTCATCAAAAATTGTTAAGTGCAATTTGTACCTAGAAAATGTGTAAATTAAATTCAGAAAATGTGTAGTATAATAAAAGCGTCATTCGAATTAAATACTTATTATGAATGTATGCATACCTAAGAATTGCAAAGGGTATTTCATCTTTGCAATTGTTGCACCAAAAATTTTCACCTGTTCTTTCGACCTTTCTAACACACGTCGGGCAAGAGTTGAAAAACCAATTACCGTCAACTTCAAAAATTGTGCCATAAATCCAAGACACATTATCCTGGAAACAATTGAACAACAAAAATATATTATTATTCATATCATTGTGTTGCATATATTTAATAAAATAATCATAAAAAGTATGTACTGTGGTTACCTCTTCTAAAGCATTAACTTCTGCAAGACTTCTCATTGGAGCCAAACCGGACTGCAAATCGTCACACACGCTCGACATGAATGATTTAACATATTCCATTGACGATTCGGTTGGGCGTTTGTGGGAGATATACCTTAAGTGACCAAAATAGAAAAAAAATATAAGATAGAGAACATAAATCAAATAAATGATTTTTTTTAATCTCTTAAAATTAATCACCTCTCTTTGAATTCTACAATCTCGGGTAGATCACACTGAGAGATCATCTTCGTTGCCTCATAGGCGTTCGCAATTCTCACAGAGCCTAAAAAAGTCGTTAATATTATATAATATAAATGTGCAGAAAAATATTTTTGAAACATTAATAATTAATTAGCTATTTACCATCATGCATAGCTTTTGATCGGCACATTTGAATGATTACAATTTTGACAGTGGATGTCAAAGGATTCTTGAATGCCTCAAGTAAAACATCAACATAATCCTCCCATAAGGTGCAAACTAACTGGCAGCCTCTATAAAAATCACAATAGAAAAAATATATAAAATTAGAACAGTATCTATATTATGATAATTTATATTATTAAATTATAATAATTTAGACTTACCTGACATCTTCTAGAAGAACATCTATATATCTCTTTTCAACACCCGCAGAAATTGCAGTTTGTACACTTTGATAGTAAACAACTCGACCAATAACATCTACAATTCAATAGGCATTGATCAATTATAAAAAGTATAATATAAAAATTGTAATTATATAAATATTTATACTATATTAACATTACCAATAAGCCTTGATGAGTCAATGCTTGCTGGATCACATAAATCACCGAAATCCTTGAAATCGAACATGAATCGAGGGTAGTCTTCATCAAAAATCTCCTTAATTTCAGTGTGTTCATCAAACACCATTTTGTCATTTTTTGGAGTAGTCTTGTACATGTAACGATCAACTCCCATGCTGAAATGCTTTATCGCAAAAGTACTCCCTTCGCCATTTATGCACATTTCAAAGTTTGTTGCTAAGCTGTCGGGTGCGAAGGCATGGATGCGTTCGCCCTACACAGAAAATCAAACTTTATGGACTGAAGCATAAAAAAAATAAATGAAAATTTGAAGATATGTAGACAAAAATATAATAACCTTGACATCATGGAAAACAAACTCTAGGCTTGATCCTTTTTTCTTGGGATAAAAACGAATCAATCTCAAAATTGCTGTTTTGTTTTTGTTCTTTGCAAGAAAAGTAAGATTATCAAAATAAGTAGCCATTTGGAGATTGGAGAGTATATTTGAGAGTATTTCAAAGAAAATTTGTGAAGTGATGGTGATTACAAAATGAACAAAATGACACTGTATTTATAGGGGAAATAACGAAAATTAATTCCATTTTTTTTGCTGGAAAATTGATGTGTATATTGTATTAAGTCAAAATTATTAAATTGAATCAAATTCATGATTAATGAGTATTATTGTGTATATTCTTCACTTAAACCTCAAATTCCATGATTGATGCTCACCAAAAAATCAACCTGATTTTTAAACCGTGTGTATTACAAACTTTGTACAATCTAAATTTTAGTAAAATATCAAATTCCCTGATTGATGCTCACCAAAAACTGAATCTGATTATATATTCCCTCTGAATATGCATTTTTATAATTTCATAATTAATTTGGCATTTACTGTTGTATTGATCCTCATGCTGTATTGATCCTTACTTTGTCATTTTTTTTAATCTTATATTTATGTAATATCATTAGTTTTATAATTATTAATCTATTTCCTTTTTCTATGTTGCAGGCATAATTCGTTCAAAAGGCACTGGAATGTTACATTTTTTTTATTGATTGATGTTATTTTGATATGTAATTTTATATTGAAATTTATTGGTGGAATGTTTTATATTTTCGACAAATGCAAATCATGTAATGAACTAAAACGGAAACAAAAAATTAGATTTTAGGGGATAACATACAGTAAGATAGCATACAATTTCTCAATTGAAACTTACCAATACGTCACTCAATACATATGAAGCTAATTAATGGAAAATAAATAATTCATTTGTAACTGATTTTGGGGGGAAAAGAGGTTAGTGCCAGCTAGGTATAATTTAATAGGTTTTATTTATGAGGTAAAATTAAATGATTAGCCAGCAATTATATATATATAGATTACAATGCATTGGTTTAGTTTTGTCTATGTGTTATGTAAATAAATTTAAGTTTTCAATGACATGGATAAAACTATATAAAATTAACAAAATTCACTCAAACGATGAGACTATGTCTCTTGGGTTTAAAATAGACTTAGGGATAGATTGAGTCTCTTTTTCTTATTGTCATATCAGCAATATTCGGTCTGCTTGAACTTGGATTGAAGAATAATTTTTTTTTTTTATTGAATCTATTTCCTAAGTGACATATAAATTTTTTTGACTGAACCCAAAACATTGTAGACACTCTTATATATCAATATATGTGTTTATTTTCGACTAAATCTCCAAACCTCTTTCGATTTTCTATTTAGTTTTTAATTAATATTTTTTCCTCTCCATTCTCTATTATCAAATATCACTTTACTTAAACTTGCTAACTTAAAAAGTACGTAGATCAATCAAAATGTCCAATCATTCCTCCACTACCAACTTTTCCAATTTTTTTTATTATATTTCTTTGTTTCGTCCAGACACAATTTTGTCCTCTCTTACGTCAACCCTTCCTCTTCATATTTCCCTATCAATCTCCTTGTTTTTTGCAAGTTCTCCGGCAGCGTGAAGAAATTCGGTGAACGTCTGGCACGAAGTATTCCGAAAATAAAGGGTCGTCAGGGAATCGGTCAGTCGTTGGTCATGTCGCACGGGTTTGCCGGGTGCTGGCACGTCGCGTATCGGGCGCTGCCTCGGGTCTGCGTGCGTGTAGCGCACTGCATGTGCGGGTGCGTGTCGAGCGCGGGTATCGTTGGGTGTGCTCGTCGGGCGCTGTCCTGGATCCTTGTGGGTCTGTACGGATCGCGTCCGAGAACCTTGTGGGCTGCACGATCGCGTCCAGTCGTTTGCGGTGTTGCGGGTCTACACGTCTTGGAGCAGGCAACTGGTCGTGGCTAGGACAAGGCGTCGTTGGGGGTTGCGTGATGTGGTTGTCGATCATCGGGAGCGATTTCCGGTGACCGATGGTTGCCGGGAAATTTTTCTGATAATAATTAATTCGTCTTATGGTCTTCTGATGTATTACCTCTACACCTACTTCAAATAGTCTTGGTGGTGCGACTGAAGAAAACTCCCGAAACCTCTTAATCTATCAAGCTCAAATTTTCTCTCTTGGAAGATGAAAAAAGTCGGATGACGCATGTATGTAGGAGGTGTTGGGACTTTGTGTATTTATAGGCTACAACTGGACCCTAAAGAAGTGCTAAATATGGGCTTCTCCAAGTAGGTTTAGGAATCCTTATGTCTTCCAACTTATTAACCTTCTAGAAGTCCTAGTGCCTTTTAACTTAATTACCTTCTAGAAGAGTTTTATTTCTTCTGGTAACATTCTAGAAGACATTATATCCTTCTACATGTTAATATTCTAGAAAACCTTTTAACTCATATTCCCAATTTAAATAAATAATAAAACATTCCACTAGAATAATATTATTGATCTCCCTAGTTAGCTCCAAATTAATTAATACTTCGGCCCTCGCAAATTAATTAAATTGATCGAATTACCTCCTTATGTTTAAGATATAACGTCCATTAATTAATTTCTTTTTATCCAAAATTAGTACCACTCAGTTCTTAATTATTATATTGAAAATTAATTCGCCTGCAGGGCTTAACATAATAAATCCTTCCTGAAATTATTTCGGGGACGTCATCAACCCAACGAACCAGGATATAAAGACAGTAAACAATTTCAACGGCAAATCATGTAAACAATATTATTTACCAAAATACCAAATATTTCAAATTCATTAAAATAGGAATCACCCTTGGTAAATCAAACAAATAAGTATTGAGTCATATGCTCGTTTATTGTCTTATGGGTTAAGAGAACGCATCAATTACTAGGGTCTAGATTATTTACTTGGTCAGTATAAAATAATCTTGTCCTCCGTTGCTCCATTCAATACACCAAAAGTGTACTAACGTAATTCATCAGTCAAAGATCAATTGAATCAAAATTACACTACAGCCTTTCACAACAGATAGTTCAATTCCATCTAGGTTGTGAATCATTTATTTATATTTTACACGTAACTGATAATATGATCTTTCTGTTCGACACATCGAACCATATTATTTACAGTGTAAAGTAAAGGAACTTATGCTCGCATAAATAAATAAACTACAAACATAATTCTCATTCAAACTTGGTAGTGAAATGGATTTTTCACCCGGGCTCCTTCAACTCGAACGGTCTCCGTACCTGCAAGAACCCAACGCCGGGGGGTCCCGGCGTCGGGACTCCGATGCCTAAGTCAGCACTCGTTCCAAATCAAGAGTGCAAAAATGAGAGTGTAGTCAATGTAGAGAGAATGAGATTTTGGGATATCTTAGCCCCCTTATATAGGGGAACTGTATCTTATTGCCAAAGTTGGGCTTAGCCAATATCATTATCCCATGTCTCCTAGCCCATGTGTAGTCTTATTCTCCAATATATTCCTTCTTATCTATTAAAGCCGGTCTAGTATAATATCTTATATCATCTAGTCCCCCTCCCTCCCTCCCTCCCCCCACTCTGGTCGAGTGAGCATAACTCGATCAGGTAGGGGAAACCATGAGTCAACTACCATTTATGGCTAGTAATAGCCCACTGATTGTTGTTGTAAAGAGCATCAAAATGGTCAGACTGTTTTCAAGTGTTAACATACTGCTATTCCATCTGATAACTTTTGAAGTGGTCAGATGGAGTCAACATGGGTAAGGTCAAAACTTGAGTCCATCTATACTCAGTTTGTATTTAGGGTCACAATTTTGCACACCGACCGAGACCGTCTAAGGACGCCTAAGTGTAGCTCAGAGACTAAGGACCACGTTCTAAGGCCAAGGCCCAAGTCCTTTCCCGAGCCAGCAAACCGGCAGGGTGTGCGCGCGCTTGTGGTCGAAACCATCACCAACACTTGATGCCTAACTTTATTGTTATTATGATCTCTCTAGTTTTCTTTATTATAATAAAAATAGTTATTCTCACTTAACAGACCTCTCAAACTCTCTTTATTATAATAAAGAGAGTTATTCTCTTTTAGAAGTCAATATATGATATGAGTTTTGACCATTCGAATCTCACAATCAACGTTTTACGTATCTATTAATGGTCAACTTTAATAATTTATTTCTTACTCACCAAAAATTAATTTTGAGAAATTAAATATACCATGAATATCTTCTCGGTACGTAAAATTTTTATACACAATCTAAATCAACCCGAATTAAATATTGGTCCATCAAAAAATAAGTGAAAATCAGGTCAATCCAATTTTTTAAAACTGATTTTTCTTTTATAACACTAAATATATCCAATATTACCATTAAAGATACTTGATATAAATGTTGACACTAAAAATCTTTCGAAGATATGCATAATTTCATATTAATTAATTATTATCTCAACAAAAACAAAAATAAAAAACTATAATATATTAGAATATAAATATACAGTTTTATTTAAAAGTAACCTAAGAGGAATATACAATATTTAAGTGATAGGACACTTTAGGGCATCCACATCCCTTTAACATAAATATCATTCATTTAATAAAAAAGTAACACTCTTTCTCATCCACATCATCTCCATTTCATCTTTCCACTAAATCTCTCCCCATTTAAACACACACTCACATTCCTACACATTCATTTAAATACATATATGGGACCCATTGTCCACTCATTCAATATAAATTTTTGTATTATATTCTCAATAAAAATAAAATTTAATATTTTATAATTATAATAATAAATTTTAAATGCATGAAAATGAAATAACATTACAAGACCAAAATGACTAAAATTAAGATTACACAAGAAAAAAAATAATACAATTACAAAAAATATTTATTTTAGTTGTTGGCAAAATGAGGTGTATTTATAGACAAAGAATGAGGGATAGAAAATATAAATTATTGATACATATTGGGAATTATGATATAAATAAAAAATAAGTTAAATATAAAAACAAAAAGAAAAAAAGATTAATTAAGTAATGATTTTAAAACAAAAAAAAAAGGGAAGTAAAAGGCGTTCAGCCCATTGAATATTTGTGTGGGCCCCTCATTTTAATGGATAAACCATATCCGTGTTTAACGCTTCGGGGGCGTTTAAACAAACAAAAGAATGAAGCGATGCAGGTGCCCTTATATAATTTGCAAAGCACCCACGGGCGGCGGGCCTATTTTGATTCCATTAATCGGAGTTCGTTGAACACATTTAAAATAATAAAGGCAAGATATAAACCACAAATCCTCTAAAAGTGCAACTCTCTATTTAAACAAATTAAAATGGAATTCGCACATTATATGATTATATATACATTTCTTGACTATTCATCCACCGCCGCTTTAAATTTTGTAATTAAACTTTTGTTTTTTTAGTCAATCACAACACACCATTTTATTGAAAAACAAGCCGAAATCAAGGGGGCTTAAACTTCTTTTTTTTTTTATTATTATTATTATTTAAAAGGGGTCTTAAACTTTATATCAGGCATGTGCACGTTACGGCTTTTGAAAACCACAAGTTCAAGAAAGTGATGATTTTTGCGTTGACAAAAACTGACGAATCCAATGTTTAGCGTATACGGTATACATCTGCTTTTACCATTTTAAGGTGTACGGATCTTATGATATAATATATAGACGTGAGATCGTATAAGAAAGAATTATAGTAAAATAAATAAGAATGAATCCTAAAAGTTGAATGTGATATATCAACATTTTAGGCACGATCAAATGATTCAGTTATAGTCAAACACGTGGTGGTATTTCTGTAAATAAGTGAATTTTTTATTCTCACGCGGGGGTATTTTAGTCATTGCGCAAATACACTGTTTCGATAAAGTGTAATATCACATGCATTAAATTACAGTTTATATAATAATATGGTGCAGTCTGTATAGTGATTTTTTTTTTAATGTGCAACTCCGAATGAAATATGATACAACGAACTGAACATTAATGAACAACTATCAACTTTTATTAATTCACAAATTTAACTCATGAACTAAATTGCAATATAGTTAAAAAAATTTAATTTGCACATAAGTCCTTGATTCTATCTAATTTACAAAAAATAGTCTTATCCTTAATTTCTGGACAATTTCCCAATCCCTATTTTCTGTGTTGCTTGTTTCCATTCTCCGACCTAGGCGGACGGCGCCGGTGTCGGGACGGGTGAAGACGGCGCCGGGGAGAGCGAAGATAGCTGCCTCGCCGGACATCATCAAGCGGGATTTGGACGGCGGCGACACTGGGATTGTTCAACGACGGATTTAGACGGGGCACTGAGGAGGAAGATGACGGTTGCGGCGACGAGATTTGGACGGTGGCCATGAGTGGCGCCGACGAGGAGTGGTCACGCCGCCATGTCAGACGACGCAATGGTTGTCGAGCTCTTGGCGAGGCTCCACCACGCGATGAGAAACACGGGCAGCGGCATGCGGGGGTTTAACGAAGGAGGCGTCGACAGGTTTAGCGGCGGCTGAGCGGAAATCTCAGAAATCGGGGATGGAGTATCGAGAGAAAGAGTGGAAGAGAAAGGGGGAGATGTGTTGGTGGAGTAGGACCCACAAGTGTGTGGGATAGGTGGGTGATTGGGTTGGGATAGAGGATAATGCCCAATATACACTTGATAAGTGTAAAATTTGGGTTTTTTTGCCGTTGGATGTTAAGATTGTATTGCTAAGATGCATTCTTATTTATTTTACCAAACACTATTTACCAAACACTATTCTTATTTAAATCCAACTCTCTCTCTATATATATAATATCTATTAAAAATAACATTTCAATTTTTTTCAAGTAAAATAATTAATAAAAGGAAAATTTTCTCAATGGTTATATATGACTCTTTTATCGAGGGTGTATATATGTGTGTGTGTCAAAAGGACTAGGACTGGGAGGTTGCAATTGAGTTGTCCTGAGCTTTGGAAAAGAAAAGGAAAAGTTCACATGCATCTGGGGCCACGGAATCTCACTCTGCCTCACTTCCCAAATGCATTTTCTGTTTCTCTCTCCTCCCTACAAAATAATTCTTTTTTAAAAAAAAAATAAAATAAAAATAAAAAAAATTAATTCTCTCAAATAGTCATACTTTCACATTGCACTTTTTCACAATGCGTTCCGAGAATTAGACGTGCTTGTTTAGCAATATACAATCACTAAAATGAGTTTTATTTATTAATTAATTCTAATTTTGAAAAAGTCAAATAATTAGTTGTTAATGATATTTTAATTTTATAATAAAATTATATTTAAAATAAATTAATTAAAATTGATTTGATATAAAATTAGGAAATGAATGATGTGAAATGATAATTAGTTAAATTATTTGAGTGGATGAATAATGAATTAAAACTAATGTAGTAATAACGATTGATTTGTATTATTTAATTATATTAATAATAATGAGAATGAATTATGTTTAAATTCAATTTTGAATATAAATTTAATGTGAAAGAATTATTTTATGAACAAACATGCTCTAATAATAAATTAGGACTAAAAAAATTTAAAATAGTTAATAAAGACGCACGTACATAGTTCAATGTAGCTAATAAGATCGATAAGTAATGGATTCCATTATACAAACAATTTCATAATCAAACATTATTATTGACTAACCTGTGGACTTACTGCCCCATACGACTCCAACTCCAAGTTCAAAGAGATTAGGAATTTTTGTTGTTCACAATACCACTCGCATATCTATGTCTACAACAACAATTCAAAAATAAACTACATTAATAATAATTGATTTATGGGGTCTGCGTACCGATTTTATTTTTATTTTTATTTTTTTTTTCAAACGGTACAATTTCATAAATAGACCACATATTTACAAGCAGATAACACCAAAGAAACGCCACACCTAAAGAGGGCCCGATAAGACGCCAGCCCTTCACCACCGACCCGAATCAGGTTGAAATTGCCGAGAAAATGCCGGCAGTTTAAGTCTGCGTACTCAAAAGAGCTACATATTTGAATTACGCTTTATTGTTAAACATAAATTCAAAATTAATGAGATACATAATTAATTAAATAATTATTTTTGTGTACCAAGTGCAAATTATAAAGATTATATCAAATGCATACGTATCCAATTGATGTTTCTTCAAGACTCTATCTCCTACACATATAAATAAATAGGGGCTCTTCCAAATCGAAAAATCACACATCATAGTTCCAGTCTCAAATTCAAGTGGGGATGCTTGGATATAAATTTTTTTTTGATTTAATTGGATTTTTTTGTTTGGTTTGGTTAATTTTAAAAAAGATAGTATGATTAGTTGTTAGTGGGTATATTAAAATAATATTTAAAATAAAATAATTGAAGTTGATTTGATGTAAAAGTAGAAGATAGATGATTTGAAGTGATGGTTAATTAAAATCATGTGAGTGGATGAATAGTGAATAAAGTTGATGTGATGTGTAAAAATGATTGATTGATATTATTTAATTATATTGATAATATTAATGATAGTGAGGTTGAGTTAAAATTGAATTAAAAAAGTGGTTGAGTTAAAATGTTTGGATATTTTTTAGTTAGATTTGTATCCAAGCATCCTCTCTCTCGAAGACTCATGCGCATTCAAGTTGAAAACTGGCGTCCAATCAGTAACCAAACATCCAAACTGTCGAAGTACGTTTAATGAAGAAGAAAACTAAGACGAAAAAAAAAAAAAAAAATGCGGCAACTCTTCTCCAAGAAATAAAACAACAACATCCATTCCTCTCAAATCAATCTAAACACATCAACGACGTTCAAGCGAAATTTAAACCGCATTCGTCGTGGAGCTCAAGCAAACATAACATTAGGTTCGAGAAAAAACTTTTCAAGCCCTCAACGTTAGCTCGACTGGTTGAAACACAAGATCCTCCCTGTGATGTTTAAGCTAGGCCAAGTTCAACCCGTAGCTCGAGCCTAGGGACTTGAGATTGTTGTCACATGATTTAAATTTTAGAGCTTGTTTCAAACTAGATGTTGGCTCGACTTGATTTGCTATTTAGTGGTTATTAAGATTAATTTACTTACAATCAAGATCAAGTGCCTTTGATAAAATATTCACCTCAGTAAAAAATAAGGTATTATAATTTCCGACATGCCATGTTCATTTTCTGGATGACCAAGATAATTTCTGTGCACAACACAAATAAACAACCAATTCAGGCATGCAAATCTGAAGCTGGATTTATGGTACCTATGGAATAATAGTATTAAGATAGTGAAGTGCACTGTGCATATGTCATTAAACTACTCGTTTGTAACAATTAATCATATTTCATTGATACTCTAACTTTTTGAAACACTGACAATCAAGATTCCATACGAAACATATACTAGTAAAGTAAAGTGCATGCATGATTTGTATTTTTCTTTTTTTTTGCTTTTAAATTATGATTTTTTATAATTATATACTTTAATTCTGTTTGCGTGTGTATACATGTATAGCTAAGAAATCTCACCTTAGTGTGAAGACAAAAAGTTTTAGTAGCATGATAGGTTTTTGCTGAGAAGAAAGAAAAGATATTTAATGATATATTTTCACCAACATATTCATCAATAAATGCTTGCTTTTTTACTACACTGTGCCCTTTTTCCTTTCAGAATTCTCACTCTAGTAGAAAGAGCTTGCTTTACATGTGGCTTGGAGAGAGTTGGAGGCTTTTTCTTTCTTTAAAAACCTTCGGATTTGAGTGAGTATTAACTATTAAGACATCAAATCCCCAAGGTGACAATTATGAGATTTTCATAATGCCTTCTGTCAAATAAATATTTTCAAGTGTGTCATAATCAGTTTGTATATTAACAATTGCCAAGTAAACAATGTCATAAAATACAAATGCAGAACTAATTCACACATTAAAGGAAATTTATTTATTATCAAACGATACAAATGTTTCGCATTTAAACAGAAAAATGAATGCTGACATCAAACATACATTAAAAATAACAACACACTCCTCCTGGATGGATGGATTTGAACATAGAATGAGAGAAATGCCATGTCATTGGGCAACAAAGTTTTTTATTATAGCTCAAATAACACATAACACACAGATTTCCTCACTTTTTCTTGGCGATAAACAAACCCCATCTCTGCTCGCCAGATGAACTCCTTATGAGCTTAGCTTTCCAACCTCCAACTATTTCATTGTAGTCTTCCTGCAAGCAATAAAGAGAGATTCAATCAACACAGGAGAAAAATNAAAAAAGGGCAACCAATTGAGTAGTGCATGATGAATAAGCAAACGCCAAACCTCGGAGAAGTCCCTTATAAATGTTGCCTTATCCTTCTCCACTGCATCCAACTCTTTCTCAAGAACTTTTATGAACTGGAAAATGAACAGGTAAAGTTATTAGCTGTGCTCAATTTATAATTGCACACCATATTTACCCTCAGACTTGGGTTTATATATTGATACTTAACTTCTAAATTGATACTGTGTATTATTGTAGTAAGGTTAGTTTTCATGATTATCCCAATGTGTAAATTGATAAGATAAAACCCAGTAATCACATACTTGATCAGTTCTGTCCTCAGCAATGACCTCATCAAAGCCAGCATCACGAAGCATCTGCAAACACATATAGACATGAGAATGCCTCAGAACAGAACAAGAACACGGCTTATATTGAGGGAATAATAATAAGCTTTTGCATAGAAAGAGTTAGCATCTATATGATTAAGACATGCCTGGCCATAGGCCTGTATGTCATGTAAATCATAACCCCTTTTCTTAATATATTCCGAAAATTCAGCAGATGGAGACCCAGCATTTCTGCAGTAATCACTGATGAGGACCTTGCCTCCAGGCTTTAGCCACTTGTAGAAAGATCTGAACAGTCCAGGTTTGTCCTGAAAAAAATAACCAAAATTGTCCATATTAGGCGAGGTAAAAAAGAGAGAAGTCAGACTGCTATAAGTTAGTAGTGGTGTGACATATATCTAAGGTTGTACAATCATTTTTGATGAATATCTTCAATAACATTCATCTTGATGAGGCTCAAAATGTAATGGACGACAAAGGGAAATTGTAAACATATCAGCTATCAAGAAAGATCAAAGGTAAAGACAGACAGTTCAAAAGAATGTTATCAACACCCCATCATTTGGTTTTGTACATTTAAAAAAAAATAATAATAATAATAGGAAGGAAGCTATAAAACATACAAGTCAAACAAACAGGATTTTAAGTTTATACTCAAAAAAGATATAGCTACAAGGATGCTGAATATAAACAAAAAAAAAATTACTTGAATGTGAAGAATCGTGTCACGGCTATAGATCACATCAAATGTGCCATCAGGGTATTCTTTCTTGGTACAATCAGCAACTTCAAACTCAACAGCACACTTGAGACCAATAGCACGCTCAAGGGCAAAAGATATCATGTTGATCGAGAGGTCAATGGCAACCACATGAACATCGTACTTGTTTGCCATGTAAAAGTCACCTCCTCCAATGCCACATCCCACATCCAACACTTTCTGGCCAGCCTTCAGATCCAATTTAGCTACAAATTCTCTGGTTGTATCTGATCATTAAAACATATTCAGAATATGCCAAAGAATATTTGTAATCGTGAAGGATACTATAAATCAACTTCACGATAATTTGGTTCCAAAAAAAAAAAAAAATCATCATGACATAACCAAGATTCAAGCTTTGCTCTTGGACCATTTAAGCTCCTATTAAAATAATGGTAAGGATGCTTGGATATAAAAAGTTTTGATTTTGATTGGATTTTTTGGTTTGGGTTGGTTAAATTTGAAAAAGTTGATATGGTTAGTTGTTAGCAAGTATATTAAAATAATATTTAAAATAAAATAATTAGAATTAATTTGATGTAAAAGTAGGAAGAGAAGATGTGATGTGATGATTAGTTAGAATTATGTGAGTTGATGAATAGTGAATTAAGGTTGATGTGGTGTGTAAGAATGATTCATTGATATTATTTAATTATATTGATGATATTGATGATAGTGGGGTTGTAAAGTTGAGTTAAAAGAAATAGTTGAGTTAAAAATGATTGGATTTTTTTGAATAAATTTGTATCCAAGCATCCTCACTACTCAATTTCCACATTTCATAAATCCTAGCACACAATAAGTAAAGTTCATCAACCACATTTCATCAAGATCACATTGACCAACGACCCTTCACGATACTTTTATTTTATAGTGTACATATTCTTTGATTATAGTATCCTATTATTGGAATAACAACAGAGAAGGCGTAAACATTCTTATGGAGACATACCTATTCCACCAGTGCTCACAAATCCCTCACCAAAAACACGCTCATATCTCAATATGCCACTACATTTATATTGGACAGTGTCCAGGAATCTCTGGAATCCCCTGTCATCATCTGAGCTAACCTTTTGCCAGATCCAGCAGATCTGCACAACACAGAGGGTATTATATAAATTGTCCGTGATTTTATTTTTTTTGTCAATTCATATGTCTTAGTATTCAGTAAACTTGATAATGCACTCCAAGAATTATCGTATAACTGCTTTTAGCAATAGATCGTTTCTTATATTTCCCGAGACCTTGGAAAAGTGACAAAATTCCACTGGAAGTTGCAGGAAAAAATATAGAATGAGATCACAATGTACAGAACCTGATTTTGATTTTTTTTGTTTTTCACATAAGCTCCAATACACTTGCAACCAATGAGATCAAGTTCAAATGAATTTCCAGACTTGTCAATCTGGTGACATTCTTTAAACACCTGCAAATTCAAATGAGAAATACTATCAACATACTTCTCTTACATGTTGAGACATTACGATTAAGCTAAAGCTTATAAAAATATTCCCTCCACTTGGGATTTATGTAAGACATATTAGCTGCTATTTCTCCTTTACCATATTTTCAGTTCAGTAGAAAATTTCATTAATCTCGCTCAGCATTTTCTATANCAAAAAAAAAAAAAAAAAAAAAAACAGGCACAAATCTATCATTTGAAGATGAAGTTATTAATAAGAGCATATCAGAAGACCTTGGTATAAAATCTCGGTTCACGATAGTGAGTGGGATTATTCTTTCGCTTGTGATCACCCGACTGATGGAAACATGATTCTCTGAAATATATATAGCCACCAACTTTTAACCATTTGGCCATTCTCTCTGCAAGATTCTCAACCTGGCACAGAATAGACCAATAAAAAAATCTCATCAACCAACATTAACAACCAATTAAAGAAGAAGAGAAGTAATCTCTCACCTCTTTGTCAGAGAGATACATCAACAGCCAGTTTGAAAATATGACATCCAGAGATCCTTCTGAAAAGTTCAGGTCTGGAGATGTCACATCAGCACACATAAACTTGATATTTTTATGATGTGCGTTGAGGGCTTCATTCTGAAGAGAAGAGAGAAACGGGCAAAAAACACAAGCTTTGGATTCAATAAAACTACAAGAACACTTGATTAAAACCCATAAGATGAGTAAGTTTTAAGAGTATAGACCTTCTTTATCACGCTTTCAATGAAGTCTAGAGCTACAACTTCTTTAGCCTTCTTGGCTAGCTCACCAGTAAAACGGCCAATACCAGCTCCAAGTTCCAGAACCGACTTGCCTTCGTATGGTGGGAGTAGGGACAAAACCTGTGGAATTTATTTATAAAAAAAATAAGTAATTTAAGCAGATTATAGGGTGTTCTCATCTCATTAAGTGTAACATCAAATGCCATAGCATTTTCTATTTTTTTTAATATCTAATCAAAGAAAATATATTTGAGAGATGATGATTTTGATATGTCAGTCCACAGTGCCAATTTACACCTCATTGATGCAACAAACTGAACTCCAACAGTAGAAAACTTGATGCAAAGAAAAAAAAAAAGGCGAAGAAGAAAAAACTTAAAACGAATAATCCATCGTGCGCTACACGTGCCAATTACTTATATCATATACGACTATGCTCAACTATATTCACTTCGCATTTGCTACCAAACAAATCTTCTCTCTCTCTCTCACACACACACACTACACACATTGAGTTTGGAGAAATTATACCTCAGGCCTCTCTTCCTTGTCGAGATCAGATGCTTTGGAATCAAGCATCATAGACTCCAGAGTGAGTTCAACAGAATGTTCGATCCAGTAACTCTTTTGCACCTCACGCTCTTGATCTACACATTAAAATTACAAACAAAAATGCCATTACATTTTCTTACTCACGACCGATCAACATTTATTCAGTTTCTTCATACAATTACCAAAACCCCAAAATACAATACGTCAAAATTAAATTTACTGAACCTTGGGCGATGGCGGCCATGGTGCGAGCACAAAGAACAAGCAACAGAAGGATTTGATGTTTTTGTTTTTTAGTTATCTGTATTTGGCTATGGGGGCTTTTAAGAGAGGGATTGGGATATGAGAGAAATTGGTGGGAGAAAGGGTAAAATGTAAAGTTCTAACAACCCTCAACTGCAATGCGGGATCTTGAAAATGTCCTGGATCTGCGATTGCAGGATTTCCCCTTTTGCTGCATCAGTTGTGTTCGTGGTTTGGGTAGAGCAGATCGGGCTATTTATAGGAGGAAAGGAAATGGGTTTTTGTTTTTCCAAAACCAAAAATTAAAGAGGTCTATAATTGCTTATGGTTGGTGCCAAGTTTTATATTGCTCATTGTCCGGATCTCTGCGGCTGTGGTGGCCGGGGCTGATTTTTGGGAAACGAAGAGCCTTTATTTTACTATTATCATTTTTTGTTTCTGTTTCAGGCGTGTTTTATTTGGAAAATTCAATTACTAACCCAACTTTTTGTAACTGTATCCACCTTAATTTTATTGTTTCTAAGATTTACATTTTAAATTATTCTTAATTTAAGACTTACTATTTTAGTTAATTTTTTATTATAAGGTCCAACTAACTTTATTTTTTTGTCATAAATATGTGAACTAATTATTATGTGACCTAAAATATTGTTATTATTATTTTCTTGTAATTTATATTTTACCTACTTAAAATAAATATAATAATAAATATCTTTAATAAAATTACATTAATAAGAAAATAAAACTCTATAAATTACAATTATGCAAAAGTTTAATAATTATTATTTTAAAAATTGATAATTTAAAAAATATGAAATTAAAATATTATTTTTATTAATAAAATAAATATGTAATAAAAAAAATATAATATTTGAATAATGTTGCCTTCATGTTAGCTTTTCAAAATTGTAACTTTTCTTTTTTAACCCAAATGTTGATACAATAGTACATATTTAGTTTATTAATAAAAATAATATTTCCATTACATACATTTCAAATTCACTTATCAATTTTTTAAAATAATTATTATAAAACTTTTTTCACAAATATAATTTATATAGTTTTTTTTTTCCGGAAACGAAAGATATTTTTATAAATCAAAACGCACAAATGTGCAATTATACAACTCCTAGTTGAATAAGACAACCAACAACTGAATAAACTGGAAGGACATGTCAGAAGACCGTCTAAATCTGACACTAACAATGCTAGAAACCAAAATAAGACTCGGGACACAATCAAAAACTAGAAACACAAACAAAAACTACTAAAAAGATCCCAACAGGATAATGTCCGAGTGTAGGATCCCAACAGAATAATAAGTTTACACTCAAGCGCACAGAGGCTAACGGCCGAAACTAAAAACATAACCTAAAAGACATTTTGTTTTATTAAGAGAATTTTACTAAAGATATTTATTATTTTTTATTATAAGTATGTAGAATACAAATTACAAGTAAAAATAATAATAATATTTTTGTTCACATAATAGTTGATTCACATACTTATGACAAAAAGTAAAGTTAGTTAGACCTTATAATGAAAAGTTAGTTAAAAAAGTATGTCTTAAATTGAAAATAATCTAAAATGTAAGTTTTCTATTGAAAAATAATAAAATTCAGGTCTTAAATTGATACAGTTACAAAAAGTTAGGCCTTGTAATGAAATTTTCGTGGGAACAGCGCGGTTGATCGACGGGGAGTCCCACCCTATTATGTGATTCGAGCATCGGAGAAATTGAGAATTTTTCTTAGAGAGAGAAAATGTGTAAATGTCGAATCCTCTCTAGTAGGAATACTCAAAAAGGCATGTGGTCATAATTGGAGTTTTTTCAATACAAGGTCTGAAAGATAGGTAAACTATCAAATCGGGGCATAAAAGATTTTTTTCCTCAATTCGGGACCTCATTGTTAGGGCATCCACAACCCTTTAGAGCATCCACAATGCTTTGGGTTCAATCCCAAAAAATTATATGTCACCTAAGAAATAGACCCAATCTAAAAAAATATATTCTCCAATGCAAATAAAAGTAGACTGGGTCCTGCTGATGTGACACCCAAAAAAAGAGACCCGGTCTCCCCTTAAGTCTATTTTAGACCAAGTAGAGACCTAGTCACTTTACATTGGAGTAGATTTTATTCATTTTACATAATTTTATTCATGTCATCCAAGACTTGGGTTTACTTACATGCCACATAGGCAAGACTAGACTCAATGCATTGTAAGAGCACCCACAATGCTTTGGGTCTCTTTTTGTATATGTGTCATATAATTGGACTTGACTCTTAAATGACGTGGACAAACCTAAGTAAAAAAACTCAATAACTTTGCAATGCAAAAATGAAAATACTAGGTCTAGCATACATGCCAACAAATAAAAATAATCTAATATGTTTTTTTATTAAAAGAAAAATTAAAGTAGGAATAAATGATAAGTGTTTGAGTTTGTACTTGGGTCCAAAATAGACCCAAGTGTGGACTTAGTCTCTTTTTTTTATTGCCACGTAAGCTAGACCATGTCCACTTTTAATTGCATTGGGAAGCATTTTTTTATAGACTAGGTCTATTTCTTACATGGCATGTGAATTTTTGTCAAGAGACCCAAAGCATTGTGGATGCTCTAATACACATCTCATTCATTCAATCAAAAAGTAACACTCTCTCTCATCCACATCATCTTCCACTAAATCTCTCTCCATTTAAACACACACCCACATTCCTACACATTCATTTAAATACATACATGAGACCCATTATCTACTCATTCAATATAAATTTATATTCTATTCTCAATAAAAATAAATTTAATATTTTTAAATTATAATAATAAATTTTAAATGCATGAAAATGAAACAACACTACAGGACCAAAATAACTTAAATTAAGATTACACAAGAAAAAAATAGTACAATTACAAAAATATGTTTTTTTAGAAAATATAAATTATTGATATATATTGGAAAGCGTGATATAGATAAAATCTGAATTTATCAATATTGGAAAGTGTGATATAAATAAAAAATAAATTAATAAAAAAATAAAACTAATATAAAATTGATTTAAAAAAAAAGTAATAATAATTGGCTGAAAGCGTTCAGCCCATTGAACAAAATCCTGGGACCCAGTAAATGAATGAACACCCACAATGGTGTTAACGCCAACTTGGCGTTTAAACGGGGGCAAATTAATACCCCTTGCGGGTGCCCTTATAAAACTACCAAATTAAGTCTTAGAATTAACAAAATCCATAACACCAATAAATTGAGAGTTAATTTGAAGTTTTAAAACATCAAATCTGTTACAACGTAAAAAAAAAATATAAAAAAATCAAGGAAAATACGAGATTGTTGGAGAAAATTAAGGAAAGTATGAAACTCTTGCTCGGTTTTCTTGCTATCGTCTATTTATGTTTTTTTTTTGAAATATTATGCGAATGTTTACTTATTATTTAATGTGAGTAAGCACCATTTTTTTTAAACTTTCAATTTAATGGTGTTATGAGTTTTGTAAATTCTAGGACTTAATTTGATAGTTTTATAACATTTAAGTCCTGAATTGAGAAAAAAAATTAAAATATTTAACCATAAAAAATTTTCGTGTTGCATAAGGATTAAAGTAACTAAAAATTAAAATTTATTTATTAAAATTTTTAACATTTAATGCACTTAATAATTATGGCGGAAGATAAATATTATGAGTTAAACATTGGTCAATTATCAAACAATGTGCAAATTATGAATTGTTAAATAAATTATAAGACTGTGATAAACGATAATTTTATAAATACGTATACAAGTAATTTTATAAATACAAACTAGTACTTATTTAGTGTAAAGTAACTCTTTTAAAGGGAAAAGTTTTTAGATTTTATTAAATGTTTGGCTAATAATTAATTAATTATATATATATATATATATATATATAGATTAAGAAAATATTTATCTACATAGTTACGTCGAATTAAATTTATTTTCAAGAGCTGTTCTCCCTTCTATATTATAGTATATATATATAGATTAAGAAAATATTTATCTACATAGTTATGTCGAATTAAATTTATTTTCAAGAGCTGTTCTCCCTTCGTAATTAGAGGTGGGCAAAAAAACCGAATTTTCCGATCCCGAACCGGACCGAAATGGTCCCGTTCCGAAAAATAGGGTTCAAAAATGTTTTCTTTATTTTAGTCCCGTTCCCGGTCCCGAACCGTTTGAAACAATGTCGGTATAGGTTTTTAATATTTTTTTCCCAAACCGTCCCGTTTGTCCCGTTTTATTTTTTTTGTACAAAAATATTATATATATATATATATAATAACATTATTATTATATTTATATTAATAATATAGTGAATAATTGTTAAACTTCATTAGTTCATTTCAGTAATCACTAATCAGTATAGTTTCCTGTTGGCCCTTTGTATTTGTATGTTGTAAATTGTAATATATAGAAGCCCAATTCTACTTGGCCCAAAAAAATTAAATATCTTAATAATTACCATTGTATTTAGAGACGAGTGAAGTGAATGTGACTAATATGGACTTTTGGAGACTTGGAATATGTTGCTTACTTGTTTTAGTGGACTTTAAGTAAATGACAACGTGTATGTTTGTTTTGAACTTTTAAGTTTTAATGTATGTTGATGTTGTGTGTCAATGGAATAAGTATTTGGAATTAGCTGAGTTTTTTTTTTTTATCCGTTTTGTCCCGGTCTTGATTGATACCAATCCATTTGGAATGGTGTCTCATCCCGAATCGTTCCCGGACCGATTCAAGAAAAAGGAACAGATACCGGGATAAGTCAAATCCCGGATCGTTCCGGACAGCGCTCACCCCTATTCGTAATCCGTACTTTTATTGAAACAAGAAATTGGCCTTTCCAACAACTCCAAGGGTTAGATAAAAAAGTGCGTGATGGATCCGAGATAATGTTTGTTTATGAAAATATCTTGAATGGAGCAATGATTTGACGGGACCATATAAATAATATAATGGCGAAATGCACCGTTCATTTCATTTCAATTATTCAGTGAGAGGCTGTGTATGTATACATAGCAATCATTTAATTTCATGTTGGGCCATATATGTGATTCCCATTCATTAAACACGTGAAAGTAGTTCCACATATTAAAAGCATGTTTGGAATTATGAAAACCGGACCGGACAGACCGGTTCAATCGAGAACCAACCTTTGTATCGGTCCCGCTCACAGGATGATTGATCGGAAAAAGTGTGTATTTTATTATTTATTAGTGTATTTTTATATGTTTAATTTTATCGCACTTATATATGTTCCGACTTATTTATTTATTAGATAGATTCTAGTGTTTTGATATTTTTATGTCTTATTTTTAGGATATTGGAGTATTTTCGATGGCTACATGGAAGTAAACGAAATTTCAGCCGACGGAGTGTCGAGGGTCCCTGATGCGAACCGGACTTTCGAGTGAAAATCGAATCACGTGGATGATAGCGGGAGTAGTTAATTTTAGTT